AGTAAGAATTACGATAGTTTAGTTTTATTTATTTTATTTTCGTGTGCTACTGCATTTGGTTTGTGAGGATTACGAATGGTATATACTACGGCAGTGACACACGGGTTCATCAATAGTTTAGTTAGTTTAGTTCTTTTTTTTTTAGTTCTTTATTTTTTTTAGTTCTTTTTTTAGTTCTTTTTAGTTCTTTTTTTTTAGTTCTGTTTTTTTTTAGTTCTTTTTTTTTCGTGTACTACTGCTGAAAAGCCATTTGGTTTGTAAGGATTACGAATGGTAAATACTGCGGCAGTGGCACACCTGACCTTGGGGTTTGTTAAGTTTAGTTAGTTTAGTTTTAGTTTTTTTTTTTTAGTTCTTTTCTTTTTTTTTAGTTCTTTGTGATTGAATGTGTGCTACTGCTGAAAAGCCATTTGGTTTGTGAGGATTACGAATGGTATATACTGCGGTAGTGGCACACCTTCGTCACCACGTTCCGATAGTTTAGTTTTTTTTTTTTTTTTTTTTTTTTTTAAAAAAAAAAACTTTCGTAATTGGGGTTCGCCAATAGTTAGTTCTTTTTTTTGTTTTTCGTCCAAGTTTCAATAGTTTAGTTTTTTGGGTTTATCACCAAGTTCTGATTTTTTTTTACTTTTCATAATTGAATGTGAAATTTAGAGAGAAATCCACTTAATTACGTCAAGGTTATGACCTGAGTATCAACTAAAACTTCAAGAGACCTTTGAGGATCAACGCGACCTTGTTAAAATCTCAATACTTCCAAGAATTACAAATGCTTTGGATAAGACAACGTTTCCAGTAGTCGATGGTATAATTTATAAAATACTATATCAACTTCATCGACACCAAAGGGACAAATTCATTACAGAACAAAAACCGGCAATAGTGGTGGACAAATATAAAAGAAGAAAGCATAATAATAGACGTGTAGATTCTGTACATAAAATATCATATTGTTAATTTAGCTATTACATATATATTAAGAAATTTTTTTTTTAATAATAGAAAAGAAAATGAAGGGCAAAAACGATAGATCATTTATCTGAAGTAAATGATAAGTTAATAAGAAAGATAGCAAAAAAAGACTTAATGAAGTTACAGACAAGTAATCGTTACCATTCTCCAGAAATCTCGGAAACGGATGAAGAATCGGTAAAAAGAAAGATCATAGTTTATGACTTGAAGTGGCGATCACAAGCTGTAAGTTAAATTCACAATTCTTATATCTCTATATACATCTTTATTATCGACTATAAGATGAATTTGTACAAACTTCGAGGGTCCATATTTTTACGTAATATCACATAGCTGACAATATACATTTATGTTACTGAAGGACTGTAGAATGCATAAAATATATTAATTTTATAAAAAGTTCGGGTGCATTTTGTTATTAGCGTTAGTAGTTGGTACTAAGATATATGGTGAAATTATAGAAATCATACATAAAACATGTATATATATATAAAGATTAATTTAAATTATTTTATTTTTAAAGCTGAAAGAGTTGTTAAAAAACTATGTGGATAAAATTAATGATAAAACGGTGAAAGTAAAGATATCTCGAATAAGAAGTCATGGACCAGGGTTTGCGTCAGAGAACAAGCCACCAATAAATGTGCCAAAATGGATGTTGGCCAAATACGAAACTGAGACCATAGAAGAGGAGAATGAAGTCAATAAAGAGGATGAAGTCAAAAGTGAGGGTGAAGTCAATGAAGAGGAGAATGAAGTCGATGAAGAGGAGAATGAAGTTGATGAAGAGGAGAATGAAGACGATGAAAACGATGAAGGAGAAGCTTTGTAGTGAAATAGTCAATAGCAATTATTTTCAACTATTTGATAATATAAAATAGAAGCTATTCTATCATGTTTAATAAATATAGATTAGTCATAGCGATAGACCTCCTACCTTAATTATATTCAATATAAAATTAATCCGTTGTTGAACAAAGGTGTCACAGGCAATCTATACTTACGTACAAGAAATATTTATTAACTGTCATTTCTTATATCTTCGAATTGATAAGTATCTCTTCTTATTTTATCATTTATTATTATCCTTATACTTTTAACTTTATTTCTCTAATTTCTTCAGGGTTTTCAAAGGATTGCTTTCACCGGTGACTTATGATATAACTTACCGGTAACCATTTCGGCAGCCCTGATTAGAGTGTTAGTATTGCAAAATTATGCGTTTAGCAAATCTTAAATTATGTAAATTATGGGTCCTGGAATTAGAATAGAAAATTAGGCCACTTCAAGTGATTCTCCCCTAAAAATAGGAGGGCATGTTATGCAAAGAATTAAATTGGCGTGGCCTTACATAAATTACGTTACATATAAATTACACTGTAACTTACAAAATTGTGTAATATAACTTTACAATTAATAGTGATAACTGTTAAAAGTACATT